AAAAAATCCTGTTTTCTTGTAATATGCACAATTCGCCATTTTACCCACATTCGCCATAATACCCACACTCACCTTATGTATGGGGCAAACACAGCCCCATTATTTGCTCACGTGAGGTGATCTGCAAATCGGGCGTTACTTTTGTTGGCTACTGTACGTTACGAATTCATCTACTTTTCCAGAATAATATTGTTTATCGTAACACATTATCAAATTTTAAATTAGGTACTTATATCTTAACAGTCGCTATATTAATTATGCAAAATCATTTTGATTTTATAACGACAAATTTAAGTAATTTTAAATATGCTGACTACGAATTTCAAAGGCACATATCATCCATTGAGCATAATCGTTATTTTATCGCAAAATTTTCTTAATGTTCGTTCGTTCAGACCTGAACCACGTGGTGGGCACATGGCTACGCTGGTTAATAACAAAATTTTTTTTATGGGTGGTTCAAGACCTATACCCAAAATTTCATCTGCATGGACTCCAATTCATCAATTCAATCTATCAGATGAGGTGTTCTTTTTGGATCTTTCTTCACCGTTTACCGTTGATTCGCCTCCTTTCACAGATCTTTCTGCAACTTCGAGAATGCCATTTGGAAGCGAAAAGGGAACAGCAGTGTTAGGAAATAGTGGTGTACGGATTTATCTTGTAGGAGGGGTCCAACAAAATATGGCGACGTTTGGTTATAATGCGACAAATTCTACCCTTTGGATGTATAATTTAAATTCACAACGATGGGAAGTTCATGGGACAGGAGTTAAGGGAGCGCAACTTCCCATGCGTAGATCCACTGCAACAGTTATTGACGAAAATGGTACAATATTTATACTAGGTGGGAGGGTGGCGGTGGATACTGGTTCGGATGTATTCACCATATTTGATGACTTTTTTACATTTGATACTTTAACACCTAAGTGGACAAATGTGACTTCACTTCCTAATCATCCATATAAACGAAGTCATAACACAGCAACTTTAATGCCTGATGGAAAAATTATTTACATAGGGGGCGTTACTCAATCCAATCCCGGCGAACCTGCAAACCCCATAGAAATGAATGAGGTGAGTGACTAATTTAAATTTAAAAAGTCTACATAAGTAATGTGAATATTGTTACGAATTGATCAGTATTATTTATATATTACTGTATTATTCGATTAGTCTTAACTTGGTCGTTGAACTAAGTTATCATGCAAACATTTATTATAGATTTTTTTTCTTGTTATTTTTTGTACGTTATTACGTAAGAAAAATAATACCATATTAAAACTCAGTCATATTATGACTTGTAAATCATGATCACAATTGCACGATAACTTATAAATATTGCACAATACTCACATTCATGGTTTAGTCATTTCACTATAAAAGTCTTTTACCTTTGATTTAGATATATGTTTTTGATACTATTACGTCAACTTGGTCGCAAAAGGTATTTAATATCTTCGTATAAATTCCTATTTCCTTGAAATTTTTAATAACATGAGTAAATTATTTGTTTAGTCCGCTTCGGGAGCCATTGAGTCTCGTGTTGGACACACCGCTCTCTTAAGTAAATTATCATTATTATTAGGTTTATTTATATTCATAATTTAAATAATTATAACTTTATTTATGTACAAATTTGATTCTAAAGCACCAGATAATTACACTATAGTTATTTTAGGTGGAACACGAAGTTATGTAACTAACCAGACTACAGCATATCCGGTTTTTGTATTGCTGGATGTCAAATCTGAACCTTTTAAATATTCAACCCCTCAACTTTATGGAATAAGTCCTCCTCCATTGGCATTTCATACAGCAACACTTTATAAGAATTATATGGTTGTTGCATTTGGTAATGATCATATTCAAAAATTATTATAGATTATGTATTTTTCATAGGGAAACCGATTACGATTTGCTAAAGATAAGTTACTCACATTAGGGTTCCGCATGGGCCAGCCCATTAGGCCCATTGGGTTTTTTTGAAAGCTAATTTGGGCCACATTCTAAAAGTGTCAGTCATATGATAAATTATCATGTGACTAGCACTATGAGATGTGGCCCAAATTAACTTTCAAAAAAAGCCCAATGGGCCTAATGGGCCGGCCCATGAGGGACCCTAACTCACATTAAACAAACTGTTATATAAATAGTTTTGTTAAAATTGTAGGACTTTGTCAAAATTAATTTCTTGCAGTATAAGTGACCCGCTTTAACTAGTGAAAAAGGTTAAATCTGTTACAAATCAGACAGCAAATCAGAATATGATTTATTTCTGATTTATATTATTAAATAGTTTGCTTAGTTTTATTAAGTTTTTTTGGCATTATTCAGAAAGATTTGCAAGAGGTCTCTGTAGGAATAAAAATAATGCTAACAAAATCTGAATAAAACCCAGCATACCTTTTTATAGAGTTTATTGTCTGATTGTATTATATTTAACTTTTAGGGTATGAACCGAAATTAGGTGATTTCAATTTACTAAGAGGTCATATACCCTTTCCTACCTTATTAAAAATTTAATCAATCAAATTTATAAAAACATGATCATTCAAGAAACCACTCCCCTTAAAATCAGCTGATTTCTACTTATTCCCTTACTACTAGTGTTCATAATCATCCATACTGCAAAAGATTCTTAATCACCAAATTTTTTTGACAAGTTAGCATAGCAACGTTATAACTTTTTAAGAACAAAAACTACTTTTATACTGCTATTTGGTTTTTAAATTAGCATTATTAATTGTCGCAGCTGATGCTGAAAACGGCTGATGCTGAAATTCGGACCTATTTTGATATGAAAATTTAAAATGTTTTTGAGGTGTTTTTATCCGTTTTTTGTTACATTTAGGTTAGGACTTGGCTAGAATCGATAATTAAAGAATATATGTGAATTTTAGCAGGGCTTATATTTTCAATCGAAACTCCAAATTTCAGCATCAGCCGTTTTTACCATCAGCTGCGACATTAATTTTTGGCAATAGTATTCTATGATATTAATAAAACTATTTATATATTATTATTATTGCTTTATATTATAATATAAAATTAAAAGAAATTGTTAGCAAATCATATTTAGGTTTTTTTACAAAATATATTTAAAGAGTATAAGAGTAGCAATTTAATTAACTTTAACAATACGAAAATTTATGTTTAACAAATATTTTTTAATATAAATATAAATATATAGGTAATATTACCAATGGCTCTGGATCTTCAACTAACGTATCAGCTGATATATATTTAATGGATCTTTTAAATTATACATGGGTGCCATATTTTAATATATCTATCCCTACTTCTACTATTACTAATAATAATAATAATTTATTAGCTATTATTTTTGGTTCTATTTTTGGTTCTATTGTTGGTATTATTGTCTTTTTTATTTTGGGTAAAGTAATATATAAAAGAATTAAACCTAAAAGAATTAAACCTATAGATAATTTTATAATTAGAGAACAACCTTCTTAACAAAAATCAGATTTATATAATGCTGTAAATTGGAAGTTTCTAAATAAGATTAATTAAAACAAAATATTAAACTAATTAAATTTAAATAGGTACAGTCAAACCTCCCTATAATCACACCCCATATAGTCACACCTCTATTTAAGCACCCAATTTTGTGTGACGGACTTAAAATATAG